TTAAAAGGTAACAACTATGAACTTTCTTTAAAATAACTTAAATTCACCAAACTAGAGCAATATACATGTTTTCCCAGCTATGCATGCAGACTGTACTGTAAAAGTGATTAAGTTATTAAAAAAAGTAGAAAAGATTCAAAATAATCACAACTCAGTTAAGCTGGTGAAACCACAGAGACATCAAAGCCCAGCAACTTTCAAGAGTCTAAGGGTTAAAATTAATTATAAAATCTGGATAGTTAATCCTATGTCAACACTACGAATTTAGGTTTAATGTTAACAATTTATACTACTACTCTTGTCTTTGGGTAAAAAAAAAAAAGTTAATAAAAACTGTTCTGGAATAAACAATGTAACTTCAAATCATTTTGCTATCTGACTACGGGAAAGACTGCTTTTCTTCTAGCTCCACATTTTGACAAGATAGAAAGCTCTCCAAACACAAGTCCTGGTGAAGATTGATTTCATAAGTTACTGTGAGTTACACTGTTCTAATACAACTGAGCTACTAAAATACAAATATTTGTTCTTAAGAAAAATTACAAAACTAACAAATCTCTTTTTCTCCAGAATTATAAAAGATAAAATCTATGAATCAGTACTCTAATATGATCACAGAAAAATAGCAAACTGAAGTTAAAAAGCACAGGCTGTCTATAATATAGGCCCCCATCTATTTCCTGCCATCTTAATATTTTCTACCTGTTCTAAGGATTTAGTGTGTCAACACCTAGAAACCTGTTACAGTCTTTAAAGTTGGGTAAATAATCATCCCTACGGTTAGGGTAATTTACCTTACTACTTACGCACACAGAAAAACTTGTTTCCTTTTTCAGGATATTCCTTCAGGGATTACTTGACAGTGGTTCTTTCAAAGGTAACAAAGGGGTCAGAAAAAGACTCCCTGAAATTCTTTTGGAATTCCCAGAAAGATATCCCGCAATTTGATATTTTATTCTTCCTCCCTCGTCACAATTTTTCCTTTTAAAAATTAGAATTGACAAGTAAGAATTAATTAATTTACTTAAAATAAGGGAAGGCTTCTCAATAATGTTTTCCCATCTAGAAAACTAAGAAGTTCAGTGAAACTCAGTGCCAGTAATGAAGCGGTTGTTATCCTAAAATTCAAACTTGGACACAGGTGTGTCGTACCCAGAGAAAATTTTATACATTTACAAACTGGTGCTTTGTTTCACACTTTATAAGCAACACAGGTTAGTTTCAACTTCAGTTTTCATTTTTAATGCATAAAAATCTTGTGCATCTTGTGACACGGATAGACATCAAACAGTCTCTACCACGTACACTTTAGTGTTTCACCAGAACTAAAAAAGAAACACCCTTCTACCCTTCTCTAAGAAGATCCTCTCCACTTTGGGAAAACATTCTTCTATGCAGTGTAGATCTTGTCAGATTATGTAAAGAAATCACACAACTGAATCAAAATTTTAGAGGACAATCAAGAACTAGAAGAAGAAGACTACAACGTGGACAAGTATGGCAGTTCCCTTCCCCACAGCGTCTGCTCCCAGGCGTCCCCTCCGCAGCAGACAGGCGGCACACACATCAGACTTGGCAATCTGCTCTTCCTCATTTCCCTTCTCAAACAGGAGATTTATTTTTCTCTGTAATAAAGCAAGTAGTATTTCAGGGGATCTGGTAGAGGGAGGCTCAGGACTTTCTGGCGTAGGAAGTTCACAGGGGGGTCTGGCTTCGTTTCAGGGGGGGTCCTCTCTTCTTCTTCCCGCCGTTCCTCTTCCAAGTCTTCACAGCTGTTGTCATCAGAGGGGTTGGAAATCCGACTGGCAAAGACCTCTTTGTCCAAAAAGACAATCGTTTCCATCCGACGGCGGCGAACTCTCCTTCGTTTAAACCTGGGGGTGTTCTTCAGTCCGTTTCCATTTTTGCTCACTGTTTCCTGATGAATGACCTTCTTAATGGTGCCCCGGATGGCAATGCGAGCCAAGTCTTGGAGGCTGCGAACTGCCACTGGAGCTACAGTGCAAAGACGAGACTGTCAAACGCATCTGAGTGACACCACCACAAAGCCTAAACACCTAAAAATCCTAACGTTATTTGAATTCGCTGGCAAATTTACAAATATGTTACAAGAATATGAGACTATTCTACTAAAGCAAATGTCAATTAGTGCTCTAATTTGCGTTCATATGGTACTTTTCTAAAGATATTTTCAAATGCACTAATTCTTAACTTCGAAAATAAAAGGAAGCAATATTATTTGTCTAACCAATCAGTTCCAGCATTAAAACCTGGGTTACAGTTTCTTTGACAGCCAAGTTTCATTACTCTATTTACAGTATTCATTAATATATTAATATTCATCCACTAGTAATACAGTGATTACGTCTCCAATATTCTTTTATCAATTTTAATACTTTCATAGTGATTTAC